TTACCCTTGATGCCCTCCCTCCCTCCTGGTAATCCTCTGGTAATGGAGAGGTAACGAAGCGTGAAATAATATGTTCGGTAACGAGGAACTTCCCTTCGTCAAGTTCCAGGTGCACTGAACGTAACTTGAGCACCTGATGGCCAGATTGAAGAGCTTAAAAGACCTGTTGAGCTGCCGGCTCGTGTAAGAGACCTGGAGCACCAGAGGTAATTTACACTCCAGTGCCCCGCTGCCGGGCGACATGCCGAGGTGTTCATAATTTAAAACTCTGCCTACGAACGTATGCAATGCTCTTTAAAAGTCTAGGAAATTTGTCGTAGAACAAGAAATTTCGATGAAGTACATGCCGCGGTGTTCATAATTTACAACCCGGCCTACGAACGTATGCAATGCACTTTAAAAGTCTAGGAAAATTGTCGTAGAACAAGAAATTTTTATGATGTATCAATATTACATAATAGATCTTGAATGAAGTACCTGAAACAATTCTTAGCCATATATTATTGCATTTTCCGACTGTTGTTTTTAAGTGTGACTTATAGTAGCGCGCATGTTAGAGTGAGACAATCGCATCTCTCCAGGTGATTCATGTTCGTACATTTGCGTGATGTATTGAATATGGGTGACTCGTGAAGAACATGGGGCTGTAGACGATTGTTATTTTGAATACGAAATTAATTACTTAAATTATGGCCTACTTTTAAAATTTATTGACGATTTGGTTAAGTGAATTCTTCTAAGGTAGTCTCACGAGCTGTGTGATGTAGACCTGTAGTTGTTCGTAGTAAAATTCATAATATTTTTTCAATATTATTTGTATATTAGCCTTCGTCAAAATGAAGTTTCTAATAAACTAATGAGATCTCATTAATCAAGGAGGCCTTAACTATTGAAAAAGTTGCTCGTTAGTTACTTGTATTGGTGCCTAGCAACCGTAATTTGCATGCCCTGCTTACATCCCTCGTTCAGATCCCTCGTTATATGCTATATATACGAGGGGAGGAGGACTAGGAAGAAGCGGCTCTAGTTCTCAGCGCGCACGTGGCCAGGGCAAACAACGCGCACCGGCTCATCTCCGCGGAGGAATCACGTAGGCGTCAATTAGATCCTCTTTGCCACATGTAGCAGTCGGGGGTCTTTGATGTTCATCCTGCCGTTTATGGATTATTATTATTTGTGATTATTAATTATTATTATTACTCTTTTATGATATTGAAAGATGAGTTACTTGTTTCTCATATTAAAGTGCTATGTCCATCTTAATTTATGGTACAACATTTCATTTGGCATATGTTAGAATTAAAAAATTATGGCCAACATTTTTAAATTGTATGCTTTGTTTCGTTAATCTGCTTGAAATTCATTATGATGAAACTGTTTCCAGAAAAAACTCAAATTCAACAACTATGTATATACATGACCAAATCAAATCATGAATTTGACGTAATCAAACTAAGAATTTGATTATGTTTAAGATGGGTGTTATCTCGCTACTCTCATTGTTCGTGTTTTTCTACGATAATCACAGCCTATTTTTTTTGCTTATCAAGGGTACGTGCACACGTTGTTTGTATTTGTCACGAAAAATTTAAGTTACATCATGGCACACATGAGCTGCGGACATGAGTTGCGACGACTTTGCAATCTCATAGAAATGATCAAGATTAGTTCCCTAGAAATGTGCAATTAGCCACTTGTACGAGGCCTCTAATCTACTTATGAAACAAGTACCTCAGCAACAGGATATTGTAGGTCGTTTGTGCCGCACACGCAGGTTGTGTTGCCACTGATTGGTAGATTTTTTTATTTTACTTTTTATTTTTTTTTATTGGTAGATTATTTCTTAATAATCTCTTGTATCTTGTGTCGCAGGTAATGTTTGTGTACGAGAAATTGTCTTGATAAAATAAGTCTATAGTACTTCGAGTGACGAAGCATCGCTTCCGCACAGTGCCAGCGAAAATGCATACTTGGCTGGGGTTTTAAAATATTTACAAATAAATTAAATTACTTATGTTAATTGCATCGTATACATCCAGAACAATTGAGGCATGTTGCATTATAATAANCTACTTACGTTAATTGCATCCTATACATCCAGAACAATTGAGGCATGTTGCATTATAACAATTAGCTTAGTCAGTTTTTCATGATAAAAATTACTAACAATGAAATTTGAAAATCACGAAAGCATACAACCTACAAGCCATTATTACGGTAACGAGCGCTATTGCAAATTAGTGTTATTCTGCACTATACATACTCGCTGAACTGCGGATTTTTCGCTAACGAGCCTGTTAGTTCGAGGGCTTTTTATGAACTGAAACATAATGAGGCCGCTAGAACGATGATATTCCATCATTAGCCACAACAAACACCGCACACGACTGCTTATTTCTAATATTTCACTAATATTTCAGCAAGGTTTTTAGAATATTTTAACGAGGTTAAAAAATTCCATGTTTTCGGTTGCACAAAAAATACGAGTGCTGATCAAAACTGATCAGCTCTAATGGCCGAGCAATTTTAAAATTTTTGCTGCTATTTGTACAAAGACAAATTGATGAGTTTTTACGATATTTTAATTAATTTCAAATGACTGCTTCTACAAGTTGAGTTTATTGAGTTGAACAAATCATTACAACGTACCATGAGTTGATAACATCAAAACAACTACCGATGACGATGCGATTTGTATTAATGTTATATGTAACAATAAACCCGGCTTCATTCTAAACAAAATTCAATAATTTTGTTAAAGATCTAAAATTTCAATGGCGGCTCGAAATGGCGACTGATTATAAAAATGTCAAACTAATAAATGAGGCTCAGGTCAACCTAACGCGTTCAGAAAGAAAGAAAGAGGACAATTCTTTTTTGAAAAAAAAGAGGAAAAAAAGAAAGAAAGAGGCGGCGATCCATCGTGGCCTGGGACTGCTACGTCCGAAACAAATACCAAAGATACCAATGATAGAAAAGAATAACAATTCCTGTATTACATTATGATCATGATTTTTATATATAAATTCAATCACATTATTCCCAATGCACGCCAAGGTGTAATTCTTAACCATGTACAGTTCCTAATGATTTAATTACGATTTTCTCACTCATAATACGTAAAATCAGCTTGCGTTAGCTTGGTCGACAACGGAGTGAGATACTCATTCGAAGAATCATGTTGATCAGTAATTGGTTCTAATATGGAAACCGACAAGCAGTCATCTGATACGCAGGAAGGATACAAGATAAATTCAAGTCTCATCTGGTTGTTGTATGGGCTATTGATGGTACCGCCAGAGACCAATAACAAGGCTTACGACATTTGTCTCTATCACGCCTGACATTGAGCAGATGTGCCACAAGAGCTTCCCAGCCACGCAGTCTTCGCTCTATACATTTCTTCTTGAGATCACAGATTCTTTTCTATTGAAAATCCAAGTGGATTGTCAGTGGCCTCTCAAAAACCTATCTTTTGCCGACTAAAATTCGCTTATGAGTTTTCATTGAGGCTGTTCACGGCTATACCCTATTGATAATAACAGGTAGTATTTCGACGGCCGTCCAAATGACGAAGGGCGACCGTAGCCAGCTCGTATAAATGATTTTTCTTGTTTCTAGCATGGCTGTGCACCCCGCTTGCAATCCATCTCCCCAGGGGATGGTTAGTTCGACAAACCCAATAACAGATGCGTGATCCATTTCCCCGTAAGTTGTGGTCTGGCAATCCCCAGAGTTTGAGGCTCTAGCTGTGTGAGTCCATCCATCGATCTCAGAAGAACAAAGAGCAACAGTTGACTTTCGCAAGAAAAAAGTCTGAGGACATCGCTACACGTGAGCCTGCCATGTATGGTCCTCTTTACTTGCCTTGTGCTCAACATTACAAGGTGAAGGTTAAGGCTTTTCTAGAATCACATATTCATTCGAGAAAAGATTGTAGAATTCATCGATATTCTCCTGTATATTCGATTATTTAATATATTGAACGCTATGACCATGAAATAAATTAAAAAATTAAATACTGAAAATTTAGATTAATTTGATAACTACGTTCATTATTAATTTAGAGGGAGACCGAAATTTTATGAAATGAATTTATTTTAGTAGAAATTTTGAATAGGGAAGAAGGAACTAGCGGAAACCGCATAGTAAGGAAAGGATATGAATGAAAGCCAGGAACGTTCGGATCATGTATAACACTTACCAATAAAACAAAGGCGAATAACGGCATTTTATTTGGCTTTTGGGAAGCCGGCATGGACACTTTGTACATAAAATTGAAACATTCATTCAAGTATTTACAAAAACTCTATCAATGAGGTGAAGAGCAGCAAAAGTCGTCTCTTTTCATGTTTGAAAAGTTCAAAGGTACGCCATACAATGTAAGTTTTCTTCATTTTGAAAAAATCTTCATAGCCGAAGCGAAATCAGTATTTCAATTGAATTGAATTCATTTCACCAAAGAAGAGAAGTAGATATTTGCGTAAAATTAATTATTGAAATTCATACGTAAAACCAAAGTCAATATTTGTCAGCTTGTAGACAAAAATTTCTCTCAAATTAATTAAAAAACCTTCTAAAGCGGAAGTAATTTCAGTTTCATTGGCCTGTTATCTTTCTTAATAAACTTGATTGGAGCGCTCGGCTAGAAGATATTTATAGTGACGGCAGAGTGTTATGACCGCTGTTTCACACATGTTCAATTAATAAATTAACATTTTCTCCATATATATGAAGTCCTATCTAATTTCAAAATGTAAATTTCTATATTGCCTTCTTTAATGAACACGTATTTCGAATGAGAAATGGTTTATGTCAGATACCTGAGTTTGGTACCTCATGTACCATGAATTATCCCACGGCAAGGAAGTAAGAGTTCAATGCAAAAAAAAAAAATGAAGAAAAATAAGTGAGAAACGTCTTGGCTGGTGACATGCAAGATAGAGTGTTGAAAGTTGATATTTTAGAAAATCATAAACACACACAAAAAAAATTTGTATTGGTGCAATGAATAAATAATTTCATGAGGGTATGTTTGTTGAAAATAATTGCCAAGTCTCTGTATCAAAATGCAATAGTTTCAGAAGACAATTTCGAGCGCTGGAATGCTAGTAAGTAATTGCGTAAAATTATCATTATTTTAGCGATACTGCTGAAAAAAAATGATGGTATCTAAGATAACATTGATCCTCAATCCACCGCATCACTAGCGCGTGATCGGAAAGTAAAGTCTGCTATTCCAGCGTATATAATAGTAGACATATTTCCTCCATCGTTGCACTACAGTTTTTGGTGGGTTTTCAAAATTTTGATACGCAAAACTTCTTCCATAACCTTGCAGTTCGGTATATTTCGTATACATTTTACATAAAATTATTAATTATCGATGCTGCCGAGCAGGGTAGAACTTCGGGAACCCATTTAACCATGTACATACTTGACGAAAATGACATAACATTGTGTAATAAAAAAAAATTCACGCTCTACCCTGACAACTTTTGCCTTAAGGCATAATATACAGCGATTCATGAGAATGTACAATGGGGTTTATACAATATACAGCTTAACTATTTACATATTTTGTATACAGGTTGTATCGTTTATGGTTTGATTCAGAACTAACATTCGGTATTTATTTCCCGCAATTTCATTTGCTCAAAGTTAGCTCTCAGAAATAAATGAATTTCTCATTTTATGCAGAACCATAACAACTAATAATTTATCTCCCTGAATAAATTATCACGGTTCGTTTACATCGCAAGACCATGTTAGACACTTCATAATCACACACTTCACGATAATTATTTTTTCCCGCTTCCGCAATATACAAGATTGAGCGCCGACAGTCGATAGGTTCTGCATGGTCACAAGCTCAGGCGTCTCGTCACTGAATTGTAGTAGTTTGGCGTAGAAATTTGAATGTTCAACAAACCGTCATACATATTTGGCATACCATTAATTTTGGCAAACACATAGTTCCATAAGTTGTGTTTAACAGAGATGTTTTAATGCATTATAATTCATAATTCAATAATCTGTTTATCTCCAACATTCGAACCGCTTAAGCGGATTATACAGTGCCATTGCACTGTAATGAGTTAATTTTTAACTAGTTAATTTTAACTATACACTTTGTACAACGCTTATTAGTTATCACTCCGCGTTTCTCACATATGTTCCCTCCAAGATGGATTATAAATATTTGGGGGAATAGGAATCATGTTTGGGGAAGGACCGAAACCCTGAGGATGGAACCCCGCACTCGAGGGGAACCCAGGGCCCATTGGTGCTGTGGACGATGTAGGGAAGGCATACTGGGACGGCAACGAACTGTTGAAAGACGATGACGCGAACGACGTAAGACGACTAAGCGACGAGCGGCGCTCCAACTCGTCATGACCGAGAGAAGCCGCGCCCGACAGCTCCATGGCCGACACGCTCGGCATGCTCATGTACGTCGGCTCGTTCTTGCATGGCTCTAACTTAATAAGATTATCACATTTATCTTCACTTTCTTTCTTAATTGTCACGTCGCTTACTTCAGGTATACTTTCTAATTTCATTTTCGCAGGTTTAGGCTCAGTTTTCAGTGAATCTTTTTTGCTGTTACTTTTATCTGAGCCGCTGTCGCTCTCGACATTTTTCTGGACGATGCCTTCTTTGGTTTCGTCCTCGTCGAAGCTGTAGTCTTCGTAGGTGTCGTCGCCAATTGTCTCGTCGCCGCAGTCGTCATCATCGTCGGTGTCGGCGCTTTTGCCCAGACCACGAGAAGCCGATCTTCAGGGACGGAATAATACAGTTATTCAAGTCCCAAAAAGCCTTTTGTGTCAGCAATTTCATTTAGTATCATGAATAAGATTTCAAATCCATCATACATTCATCTCCTATAGTATACATGGTTGTCATTCATTTATATCATTGTAAATTCTAATTGGAAATATTTCTCAATTTAATGCGATTGAGGTGAGTAATTCGGAGTCTAGGCGATTCTTTAAAAAAAGTAGAAGAAAGTTTTTTCGTCCTTAAATGCTATTCTTGCAGAAAATTTGTATTTCTTGCAGAAAATTGTATTTCGTACAGAAAATTTGTATTTCTTACAGAAAATTTGTGTGAAAGTCGTTAATGATATTCAAAAGTATGCAACTTACTTCTTATCATTGGCGCCTCGAGGCCTGTTAAGCTGGCGTCAGAAGATGCTCTCAAGCCCTCCTCCTGAGCCCTGATCGCAGCTCTGCCTGGACTCATCGTCGTCACAGGGACTCATGGCCTGGGCCCCGCTGTTCGACATGGGTGTTGCGGGACCGTAATCTGAGCCTGGTCCCCCGGGACCGCCTCCGTCAGAAATGTCCCCTTGAGAGTCCGACGTCATGGCGGCGGTCTCGACGCCCCCGTCCCCGGCCGGTCCCTGCAGGGCCTTTGGGTCCTTGTTGCTCACCTGCCTCCTCCACTTGGCGCGGGCGTTCTGGAACCATACCTGTGGGCAGAGGGCAGGCAAAATATATCAGTCCTAATATTTGTCAGGATAAAAAAATGATCATTGAGAATTGATTTTGTTTTTGGTCTATAGACACAAAGATAAGACTTGAGTTTTAACGGCCATATAGGTGATAATTTAATGTTAAGTGGTAAACAGGCTAATATATCAGTCCTAATATTTATCAGGCTAAAAAAGTTATCATTGAGAATTAATTTTGTTTTTGGTCTATAGACACAAAGATAAGACTTGAGTTTTAACGACCAAATAGGTGATAATTTGATGTTAATTGGTAAACTGGCTAAGAAATTGCGCCTGTGAGCACCACAGAAGACTAATCGGAGTGTAATAAAATAAATGTCAGAACATAAAATAAAGTTCACTTAATTTTATTTACAAGATTTGTCGCTCTGTTTAGTGAAAAGCATCGGAAAAATGTTTGAGCTCATGGGGCCAGCGAACAATTAGAGGCCACAGGAGAAGTCCATATCGTAGCGTTTCCTCGCCAGCGTTTCAGAGCTTATCAGGCCTTATCTCTTGCATATCCGGCCACCCAAGCGACATCTCCCGTCGCACATGCAGCCACACACTTTCATAGTTACAGAAATTACGCACTAAATATTAGCATGGATTATTTGTTTAGTTTATCAGTTTATGTGCAATGAGTTTATGTGCATTTAGTTACGAGTTTATGTGCAATACTCTACACCATTCAGTTCGGGCCCTCGAGTTGGCGGTGTGAGATTTTTGCAGAAAATCTTTTTTTTTGCAGAAAATTTAATTACGAAAAATTTAATTACAAAAAATTAATTTTGCAGAAAATTTAATCTACAATTTTCAGTAGCATGGCTTATTTGCATCGTTTCTGCCTTCGTCTTTATGTGCAATGCTCTACACCATCTCTGCAGTTCGGGCCCTCGAGTTGGCGGTGTGAGACTATTTTTGCGGAAAAAGTATTTCCGTGATTTTGTTCGAAGTTCACGGATATTTGTATTGTGTTTAATATTGTGTGTCACTAGGAAAGCAGTTGTGAGTCGTTGTTTTTGCTATATATGTTTGATGAATGTTATGCTCAAAATTGCAGTTGAATGAATCGGATGTTGTTTTATTCGACACAAAATTGAAACCAGAGATGCTATGGATATATTTAATTATAGTTAAAATGTACAATTTTCTAACTCTGTGTGATAATTAATATTTACCAGAAACGATCATCGCGTTTCAAGTTATCATTCAAGTTTCTCACAATGCTCATTGTCAAACTATCCTTCGCTTTAAAAATTTTGTCCGCAATTTATCCATTCCTGAGGTAGAAACTCGAGAAATAATTTTCAGTCAACGGACTAAGGGAAAAATAATACATTAAACGATATTATTTTTCGTAAATAGCAATAATTGTTCGAGTGAGGCGACAGGAAATGACATGAATATAGGTACCGTGTATTTCATTTACTGGACCAAGGAATCTACAATGGTTCGTCGTCAGGTTTCGTGGTACAACACACGACACGTCGGACACTTATCGCGCAAACATCCGGCGACGCTACCACTGTCTCGCCATTCACAGAACTTATAAACTTGCACTTTACTTCTCTAATTTATGCAATACTAAGCCACATATGAGAAGACACCCTTATTGAATGACACACGACACGATTGTACACTAATAATTTTCGAAAAACGAGAAATAACTACGAAATTTTAAAAATAAATTCCATTCTATTATAGTGTGACTGTTATGTGTCTGAAGATGATACTTCTACAATCGTTCAGAGTGAGACTGTATTCTAAGTGACGTGGGATGGCTGACAACTCTCGTAATGGCCGTATAGTGGCGGTTTGTCGGTTATTAGGAAACATTTTAGGAAAAATATTTATTCACTTAATCATTTTAAATTATTGAAGGTATTTCAAATAACGGGGCGGAATAGTGAGCAGCAGCGTTGAGAAACAACATCAGCAGCACCGCGCAACAGAGGCAACAGCACCAACAGTGCGTGACAGCAACAGCAGTGCATGCCAGCAACGGCAACAGTGCCTAGTAGCAACAATAGCAGTGCATGCCAGCAACGGCAACAGTTCCTAGTAGCAACAACAGCAGTGTATGCCAGCAACAACAGCAACAGCAATGCGCGGGAGCAACAGCAACAGTGCGTGCCAGCAACAGCAGCAGTGCATAGTAGCAACAACAGCAAAGCGTGTCAGCAACAGCAGCAGTGCGCGGGAGCAACAACAGCAATCGCAGTGCATGGCAGCAACAGAGAGAACAGCATTAGTAGTGTGTGGCAGCAGCAGTGCAAACAGCAGCAACAGCAGCAGCAACAGTGGTTAACAGCAGCAACAACAGCAGCAACAACAGCAGCAACAGCAGCAGCAACAGCGGCGTCATGTAAAGAATGTTTAACATGGCCACCGAACGCATGTAGAGCTGTCGTTCAAGAGCCTCTTTGTGCATCACTTCTCTTATGAATTCCGTCAACGTTTGTATATGTGTCGACATTGATCAATAATTCATACTCATTCAGAACTACGCATCATCTTTTCGTGATGTTGGCACATTATACGTTAAAAAAACTTCAAAGTTCGCTCCTGTAGTTGATTTCTTTGATCTAGTTCACAGTACTGCATGATTCGCCCCGTAAAATTTTCACGTGGTTCGTCTTGTAGATTCAGTAGTTAAGTTTATTTGCACTTAGCTTGTTTAAATCATCACTGGATATTGTCAACCCTAGGACCTCACTGTTTCAACCATCAAACATTTATTTGACCGGGTTGTTCATGTAATTGTTTACACCGTTCACAAAATAACTCTTTATTAATTTAATAATTGTAATTCAATATTTTTAATATATTATTATTAAATAAGAATTCTAAGCAGAATTGAAGTACCCATTGATATCGATTCGCGCACCAACCACTCCGAGCTGAAATGAATAGGGACAAGCGAGTTTGAGTTTGCGTCGTGAGTTTCCCACGAGTTTTCAAGGGTTCCCTCATCTGCAAAACTCGCTAGTAAATTCATTAAAAGGTCAAGGGGTTTCCATTGCTCCACCAAGACTCGGGCTCGCACACCCAGACTGTCGTGCGTGCCATACGAACCTCTGTAATGGGTAACAGACTGGGTGCCTGTTCGCTAGACTGCTTCACATTACTTTTTCTCTGACATATCAGATGATTTTTGTTAAATAACGCGATCTTACAATTCAAGAAGAAATGTTAAAGCGATATTGCTTATGCTTCGTACAATTATGATTTTATGCATCGTTAATTTTATTTCAAAACAAAAAAAAATCGTACTCTGTGGCACAATTAATCACGTGAATGCAAATAAATCAGTTGTTATGCCTTTTAATACACATCGTTTGTCCAGTTATATTTCTAAATGAAAATAGACTGATTTTTGAAACAAAAAGGCTTTCATTTGTACTCAGATACAGCTGTGATCTGTAAAGGAATATACAGGTACAGTTGCAGGTTTATAGGTGGAGATACCAACAGCTTCAAGTTATGCAGGGATAACATCGTACTCTGTGGAACAATTAATCCAGTTATATTTCTAACTGAAAATAGAGTGATTTTTGGAACAAAAAGGCTTTCATTTGTACTCAGGTACAGCTGTGATCTGTAAAGGGGTACACAGGTACAGTACCAGCCTCACAGGTAGAACTTACAGCTTTAAGTTGTGCAGGGATAACAGCTTTACGTGGTATATAGCTGCAGTTCTGACACATGACCCACCCTTATTTTATGACCCACTTTCTGACAAGTTATGGCACCACCTGAGACCTTCTCCCTGCCCATAGCCATGGCGGGCTTGTCTCCTAAATATGCATGGAAAATTCAGTTGAAATCTTAGTGTCGAGAAAGAAAAATTTTGATGAAATGCTCGATGAATTCTAATTTTTCCACCATGATAGTAATTTCCTGAAGCCGGATTTACGAGTGTGACTTTGAAAGATACGAAATAAACTTAATGTATTGATACTTGAAAGATTTTGAGGATGTTGGAAAATTTGGAAAGTCATTCAAAAATTCATTTTTGGACCAAACTTTTCAATAATCCCGTTTTGGTCTTAAGCATTTCACACTACACGCATCAGCATGCGACGAACTGTTGCGATAACCGTGAGGCGAATGCTTCTAAAGAATATCAGGTCATCAAGTTCGTTTGACGTAAATTACGCAAAAGCAAATCAGCAAGTCAAAAATGAAAAATATCTTAGTATTGAGGACAATTTCCGAGAGTTGAGGACAATTTCCCTCTTCTTTTCAAAATCAGTCCCTACAATTTAAACCCCCATGTTATGCGACAAACTGATTCTTGAAATCAGCCATGTTGGTTTGCTCAATATGTTGCCATGTTGGTTTCTTTTCAATAGAAACGTAGATAATGCGTGCGCGGGAGTGGACGGAGGCTAGTGATGGTTGCAGGCTGACGGTGGCTGCAGGCTAGCAGTGGCTGCAGGCTGGCGATGGCTGAAGGCTGGCGATGGCTACAGGCTGGACAGGCTATAAGCTCCTGCTATTCAAGCAGTAAGAGGAGGAGGCCTCGTAAGTGTACGCGCGGCCTCAACTCCCCTCAGTTAAACGTCGACCTTGCGAGGGAAATGCGATGCTTGCGTGGTGCGTTTACACTCGTATATGATTATACGAGACTCAATATTTGATGACTGAATTAATAAACTAATTTATACTTCAATTTTGATTAGCAATTGAAACTTATTTGCCAATAGTTAATTGAGATTTATGTTTCCAAGCTATATAAATGTTCAGTATTTTCTAACTTGAAGGATCCAGTCAAAAAATTTATTTAAGCGGTAAGCGAATTTGTTGCAACGTCGGCGTCAAATTCGGTCACGGACGCGCAGAATTGAGCGACGTTTCCGTCCGCAACTGAGAAGATCCGTCGCAATTTTTTTCATTTCATCCAACTTCCTAAAACGTCATGACGAGTTTTTTTTTTGACGGCGAGGGCAGCTGACTGCCGAGAAGTTCAGATTAAAGGCCGACAAAAGTGTGAAGACGGAAAAAAACTCAGAACGACGCATAAACGTCCGTCACATCGCCAACAGATGCGCGCGCAACACATCTTGTAGCTCTGCGATCGTGTCGAGTTCACATTAATAAAAATGTTGAGATAAATCTCAATTCCATAGCTATATACTTCAAAGCAGGAATTTTCAATTATTGCTAATGTAATTGAATTATTAAAAGAAATTCGATGGATCTGTGTCTCGGCTTCATTCGATCATATATTTTTCGAATCTAACTTCGTGCTTATATCAGTTAATTTTTTACAAACAATTGTGTCCAGAATAGCTTCATTGCATACTGTAGAATAGCAATAACGCTCCATCTACTGGAAACAATATGGGCATATAGTTTTAAAATCGGATATATTAAACCCATGAGTTGTCAGTTTAATGATATGATAATGATATATTATGCACACGAAAGTCTAGTGATGTTTCAAGTGTGCAAGATACGTGTAAAGATATGGGACAGGGTGGGTTATAATGAAAACTGCGTACCAAGCTCCGTAGACTTTGCTCGTCCGAATGCTGATTAAGATATCACCGTTTTTTTAATGAATCCAAATTGCATTATAAATTTTAATTTCCAGTAATAAACATTCGATTGAATAATTGAAATGAGTTATTGTATGTGCTGATTTTATGGAAACTAATATTGCTTATTGATTAAATATTACATTGCGTCAATCAGGGCCATAACGTCAAGAATCTACAATATTCAGGGTCAATCTTCGTTCATCTTCATAGTCGGAGAAAAAATACTGATTTTAATTGACATAGATGAGAGGATTGATAAATGCATGATATTAAATTTTATTTCTAAAACAGAGCTACATAAATGGGTTACCGAATTCTGGAAATTTTCCACTGATTCGATTTCTGTGGAACATTACAGTTTATAAGACAAAAGAAAAATGCCCATAACTTAGAAAACTTCATTTATTGCTTTAAAAAAGTGAAGAAGTGTCACAATTTCATTGGTTTTTCCTACGTACAAAAATATATTGTAGCGCACGACCACTGAGACAAACAAATATTTTGCGCCTTACAAGGGCGCATGATATTCAATTTTATTCTCAAATTGTATAAAATTATAAATATATTATCAGTTGTGACGCAAGCACATTTAATAAACTTGAAACCAATTAAATATCCTCACTTTGCCCACGAGAACCTCCCTCGCAATTAACAACCATAGAATACTGTGTTTCCAAGGTCCACTTAACCCTCTTGAAGATTTATGGTCCTTACGTTAGTCGTTCAGTTGCTGAATTTCAGCCCCAGATATAAGTATGACAAGTTCCCAGCACTCGTTATTCATGCATATAATTAATTCAGTGCGACATGTTGAACAAACAGACTCTTCAACACTCGCAGTCGCATCCTTATTCTATGAAGTCTCGCTTCTCAGAAGCAATCTTGCATTACTTGTTAATGAATATTTTCTAATTAATGTGTAGACTTTTATGACGCATCACCGAATAGTCGTATAAAGGCCCGCTGAACGAGCTTATTGATTGAGACGCGCGCCTGCAGTGAGTGTGCTTTACAGGGTGCGTGTTATGCGTTCCTATAGTGACATCTCATCGTGTAACTTCGATTAGAGTTTGGTAAGATATGTAAAGTTGAATAGTTCAAGTTGTGAATATGATGGTACATTTTATAAACAATACTGCATAAGGATGAAAAATGGACAATTCAGATCACTAAGACGAGTCAACCCATGGCATAGATACGTTTATTTTTTTGCTTTCTTTAAAATATTCTGCGTCCGCGATATAAATATTCCTAGAAATGAGCATCGTCGGTTGAAAATATTACATAGATAAATTTTGTGGTGTGAGTGAATATGTTGTGGGTTGTGAGTATTTTAAAGTTAAACAAGTGTGGAAAGTTTATTTCTTCCTCTGGGCCATAGCAATAAATATCGATCAACAAGACTAGGATTTACAGGATTTACAACAAAGCTTCATCATTAAGAAGAAATATTATCAAGCAAACCAATACTAACCATCTAATTAAGCCACTAATCTATAAAGGTGGCTGAGATCATCTAAATGGAAGAGCCAAATTTTTAAATTTACTTACCTTCAATCCAAAAGAACAGACACTTTTATTCACGTTAAGAACAAACATAAAACTTACTCTTCAATAAACATATACCATTTATATCAATGAGATGATAAGTAAGCCTATATCTAAAAAATACCATTCCATTGCATCGGACGGATCATTGATAAATAGCAGTAAAAATACCATTCCAATATATCGTACGATAATATGTAAATTATGTAATAACAGAAACACATTTATTTACCTGTAAAACTCTCTTGGAGAGATTTGTCTTCTGGGACAGCGCCTTGAGGTCCTTAGCATCAGGGTTGTGGTTGATGTCGAAAAATACCATTCCCTTTGCATCGGACGTTTCATTGATAAATAACACTAAAAATACCATTTCAATATATCGTACGATAATATGTAAATTATGTAATAACAGAAACACATTTATTTACCTGTAAAACTCTTTTGGAGAGATTTGTCTTCTGCGACAGCGCCTTGAGGTCCTTAGCATCAGGGTTGTGGTTGATGTCGAAGTACGAGCGCATGGTGCGCAACTGATGGTGCTTGAAAGACGTGCGTATACGCTTACTACGCACAGGCTGCCCCGTCATCGGGCCGTACGCCATCTCCATGTCGTAGTTACCTCCTGGTATATCTGCTGGCACAGCAACATTCCTACATCAATATTGCTCTCAAGTAGCAACATTAACTGGGGCCATACTTTCAAAATTCGCTAAGTGAACGTAAGGATTTACGCTTTATTTTCTTTTGGAGAGATTGATGGATTTTGCTTGAAAGCTCGTCAATGATTGGCTGATGAACTTACGGTCTCTTAACTTTTTTTGAAAGTATGGCCCCTGAACTTCACTGAGATATTACTAGAGATAACAGCAAAAATACACAGCTTCCGTGCAAATCTCATATCTACTATCTGTTAAATATGTAAACATAATATATTCCGATACAAATATCTGCACACAAAATATTCAAAAGAACCACATTCATAAATGTAATTCTCATAAATGGATTAGTAATGATTAGTAGTTCTTATTTGTATTTATTATGTATGAATTAACTTGTCTTTGTTTGTATAGAGACATATGAGGCATATGTCCGGTAGCGCGGAAAAAATTCTATAGTGTGCGTATCCAAGCACATCTGGGTATCCAGAGCAGCGAGTGAGGTACGATCTTATTCATGCATCCCAGTTCATAAATAAATCACTTATATATAATTAGATAACAATTGTTAATGTCATCATTTATAAGAACAAGTGCTCATACTTGCAAGCTCACTATAAGAACGAAGGCCGGCATTTAACCTATTGCTGAATAACATTGGTGGGCAGTTCAATGATATTCATCTGCATCCAGCGTAATAAGAATAATTAAATTAATGATATTAATTTCAAATAACAGAACGGGAGAAAATAAAATAGATTGAATGTAATATTAAACGTCAAAGTGTGAAACGTGTACAATGAATAAATGGACAAGTGAAGACTTTCTCTATTGCTTCAAGATATTGAAATTATATCTGTAACACTAATCAAAATATTCCCATTGGCGTTTTCATTTGCTTTAAATATCAAACAAATTCAACAGTAAAAATTTGAAAACATGAATAAAAATTGCGAGTCATTCAACCGGTAAACTCAAATTTCAATTTATTTTACACTATTATTATTATTTTCATTTTCTAAAATTTTTTATTATTTTTATTTTTTATTATAATTTTTTAAGAATATTAAGAACAATTTAAATTGGAAAAAATTTGCGTGCAAAAATGTGCGCACAAATCACGCATACCGGCGCGTAAAGTCGGTGCATGGAATTCAGTTCATTATATACATGTTACAAGTACGTGACTCATACGACTATTATACTAACAACCATGCGCTTTATGTTCATATAACAACGCGGCCCCAACACAAGTTCACACGCTGCTTTTCTTTACGTCGCTACGAGGGGGCTTGTGACGCTCAGTTCCGAGAGAATGTCAAAAATTGTAAACACAATATCAAAGAAAACAGTGAACAATGCTCATACAATATCAAACACGCTACAATAAGCCGCTATTGTCGCTGTGAGCCCTCATACGCGACATTTATTGAGGTATTTGCTACAGTGTTGGAGTCACGGCAGGTCTTGCGTCTGTAATGTGAGCGTTAGGAAGTATTTCAGCTGAGCTAACAGCTTATATTTTGCCCCTCATATATATATTTTGAGTGTTCAGACAACAGGTTAACTGTTGAACAAGTTATACACCTACACTAGCCAATTATTTCATGTTTCCAGTGCTGCAGTGAATATTGTTATTAATGTATGCATAACTCATTATGAGTGAATATATTATTCATGAATAATTTGATTGAAAATTTATTTCCTGAACGAGCAGGGGTCCCCATTGCAGTAACTTTTACCGGGAACCCCCATAGTAACTTACTGAATTATAAATATTTTTATTTATAAATCAATCTTGGTCATCGCATGGCCGTTTGTTACCACCCACGCATCGATGATCATTGCAGAACATGATGGAATCTATTTCTCTTCCGATAAAAACAAATTTCCGTGTAATGAACAAGCCATTACGATTAGATTTAGAGTTTCACTTACATCTCTCGGAGCAGCTCGGCACTGTGGCGTTTTTTTTTACAACCGCTACCTCAAATTACCCATAAATAATAAATCCATGAATCAAATCCTGCTTAATGCACAGGCTATTCATTCACCAAGTATAAGTAAAACTTGTGTTTGTGGACAAAGAATTTTGTCATGTTTGTCATGAGTATTTTAATTTTCGCTAATTGATATATTTTTGATAAAATACGTAGTGAAACGTAGCTCAGAGCGACATTAGCAGCTCCCGTCCGTGGACCACCAAGCTTCTTCTTGAACGTCTACATCCTCTGGGCATTTTTTCAGCGCCGGACATAAAGTATCCCACAATCGGGCCAGAATCTGGCAGTTGGCCCTTGTCTGGGCAACCATCAGCCGTCACCAAGTGTTCTTGCCTTGACAATTTTACCCTAACGATGTCCTTGCCCGATCTTGCTGGTCCAATTTTATGGGAGCTCTCGTGGACTTGTACCGTGGGCGGGTCTGGCAGAGACTCTGCTCGAATTAAATCTAACGACGGGCCGCTGCTTAAAATAACGACCTTAAAAAAATATTTTGATTTTGAGCACAGCTGGACAGAAAAATCCTAAGAACAATCAGGAATTTCATTGACGCACAATTGGTGATATTAATGCGTAAGATTATACAGAACACAAACGTAATACAGTTCCGTTACAACATGTAATGCAGTTCCGTACCATCAGCGGTGTATATATACACTATATGTCTATGTTGCCCGCGCCGCGCTATAGGAGACCAGGTTTTACACTAGCGAGCATTTGGTGCGCTGGAACAAATTAGACCAGCGTGGACTACAAAGCTGTGAAAAATTATTCTGGTTAAGTAAATTCTCTCCATAGAAAGCCATTTTTATTTGCTGCATGATTGTACACATTTTTTTCGTGGACAAAGTCCAGGGATATTGGTTAGAATTCCCATCTATCGTGGAATAATTATTAATTGCACATAATTGGAAGGATTAAAAATAAACGATCTGCCAAGAAAGATATTCATACAAATATACAAATATATCATGCATATGAGCCTTCAATGCAAACTTTTAGTGAACACGTCGAACAAGATTTTAAAGAGATATTCGAAAGTGTGTGAATGATTGAGACGCATTCTCTGACGATTAATTTAAAATTATAACATTTATTATTTCGATCGGAACGCCAATTTAAGAGTCACGAAGACGTCACGCATGGAAGTTGCAGCCGTCACTCATATGCCATCAAACGCAGGGCTTTCTTCAGCGATTCCTTGCCTGTAAAATCAACCGTTGCCCGCCATGCAGTCCGGTCCGAATGCATACTCACGCGTTATAGAACGATATACAATTTAGGCTTGAAATTCGCAAAAACAATATGCCATGTTAGCGAATATGACAAATTATTATTACAAATTATTTTAATCGGGTGGTAATACACTCTGCATACTAGGAACTTGATTAGATAAACGATTTCGAAAGTTATATAGTAAACTGTTAAAGATTGGAACATTACATTTTTTATTGATTTCTTGTTTCAAGTGTGCTTTGTGTGGCTATATGAACGATTTCTGTTATGCTCTGAGTGTTCAAATATTTCTGATAAGTAACTATATACAAAATAATTAAATAAATAAATAAAATGATGTTACTTATCAAAAGATTCCAATAAAATTTCCAGAATTCATGCAGTGGAACTATATTGTGTTTAAATTTTCATCACGGAGAAATAGGTATTGATTGGGAGAAGCATAACATGTATGACCAACATAACCAGAGATTCGTTGCTAGTCAACACTCGGATACAGACTGTTTAGTATCGATCAAGTCAGCGGGCGCCAAAGATGTCAGTTCAGAAAACGACAAATATTGATTCTTTGCTGACAAATGGCAGTTATGAGTGCAAGAGAGAACTTAGTTCATTCGGATTGAGTTGCGCAATGTAAAGAAGCGGGTTTTTGAAAATTGGTGAGATAAATAAGAATTCACGATTAGTTTTGGAAAAACAGCGCTGTGTTAAGTATAGGTATCATGCTTACTCAATTTATTGAGCTTTCTTCTGTTGAGTAAATGTCATGTGACTGCGAGTTACCAACCACAATGTAGCCCGCTAGCAACTGCAAGGTTAAGTTTAAAAGCTTGCGCGCATGAATCAAATGATTAGTCGAATAAACTTGAAGAGAATCACAAGGAATATAAGGTAAAAATCATGACGCTTGCTCATCAAAGTAGCCTGAGCAACTGTGAGTGCTCTCGCACGAACCATTGAACAACAGCAGGAACCATCGAGCAACTGGAGGAACCATCGAACAACTGCCGGAACCATTGAACAACAACAGGAACCATCAAGCAACTACAGGAACAATCGAGCAACAGTTGGTACCATGGAGCAACTACAGTATCCATCGAGCAACAGCAGGAACCATGGAGCAACAGTTGGTACCATGGAGCAACAGTTAGTACCATGGAGCAACTGCAAGACCAAGTTGACGCGGGACTCGCGCCGCTCGATGGCGCGCTGGCTGCGGGCGCCGTATGACTCTTCAAGTGACTGGCAGAATTTGACGGCTTTTGTGGCCAGCGCGACCGGCATTGTTAGCTCGCCTCTAATGGCCATTGTGATGGCTTCCTTCGTCCCTGCTGCTTCTGTTGCGGCGCATTTGTGTTCATGTTTCGTCCTTTTGTGCCTTATGCTTGCTTTTTGCTTTCGACACCTGCGACTGAGATGATATAATTGCTAATTTTTCTTTGTTTTACGCGTAGAAAAAACATCTGTGTTCAACTCATGCGTCTCCTAACGCCCGCGACTGGTGCACGCTACTTGGTGTACTCGTTCTCTCAAGAGAAAAAAAAAACACACACACACAAGTTGACATAGAAAATAATTTTGAAACTAGAGTGTAAATTAAAAAAATTACACCATTAATAAGTACCTACACTAAATTGATTTGAACGCAGATAGTAGAACTCGCCGCAAGATAATCCCAATTTACATCATGCCACAAGCACACTTTTATTTATCTTATGAAAAATAGAAGCAAAGGTCTTGTGATATTGAAAGCAACACAGCAAAAACTTTACATTAAAGCGAAAAGAACTCTGGTGATTATTGGATGAATTAAAATTTTTGGTCAAACTGTGACAAATATCAACTGTCAGTACAGTTTCAATAAGTTTCCTGCGTAAGGAAATTTCCAAACATCACAAGATCTTTGCTTAGGAACGAAATCAAAGTCAACTTACAATACTCACTCAAGTTTGTATCCATAGGCTCTTCCTTGGGCTTCCGTTTCTTATTCCTATTTTTATGAACTTGAGGGCAGACGCCGCTATTGTTGAAAACTTGAAGCTTCGTGAGCTGACCAGGGCTGGGGTAACCCCCCATTATAACTTCAGGGGGTAAAGGGGGGCCATTTATTCCAATGGGACCCCCATGCAGCATGGGTGGGTGCATGGGCCCCCCAGGGTAACTTATGCCTCCTTGTGGGGGGATATTTACGGGGGAAATATGGCCGCCATCGTTATTGTTCGGTGCCTGCAGTGACAAATGTTCCACTTAAATTAAAATGAAAACATTTGTATATTCTATAAATATTTGTAAATCTTATTTGTATAAATATTTTTAAAATAGTAATGTTGGATTATAACAATTTATATATCAGTGCAATACCAGGATAGCAAGGATAGCAAGGATTTTATTAAACGATTTACTGAACCATAAGAACTCCTCATAAATAAATTCGTATATACTGAACTCTTAAGAAATCCTCATAAATAACAAGATTACATACTGTATATGAACAAATGTTGAAGGAAGTTTAAACATTATTCAATTATCCGTGCCTGGAAATGTTCACTGCAGTAAATAAGTGTGCCCGCTATGCCAAATCTGTCGCCCTTATTGAGCCTAGCGTTGCACATGTCGCAGGTGAAGCAGTCGTAGTGGTAGACCAGCTCCTTGACACGCATCACCATCTGAGCCTCGATGAACGGCTGGGAACACCGCGCACACTTCACGCTCCCGAACATCCTGCGTACGAAAGTGTAATAAATTAACTCATGTATGCATTCACACTCATAAGAATATTATTGTAGTTTGTTGAATTTACTAATGTATGCATTCACACTCATAACAATTGGTAATTTGTTGAATTAACTCATGTATGCATTCACGCTCATAACAATATTATTGTAGTTTGTCGAATTTAATAATGTATGCATTAACACTCATTACAATCGGCAATTGTTGAATTTACTAAATGCATTCACGCTAAAACAATCGGCCATTGTTGAATTAACTCATTTATGCATTCACACTCATAACATTTGGTATATTGCTGAATTAACTAAAGCATTCACACTCATAACAATTGGTAGTTGTTGAATTTATTAATGCATGTATTCATACTCATAACAATTGGTAGTTGTTGAATTTATTAATGCATGTAATCATACTCATAACAATTGGTAATTTAATGAATTTAATAAATGCATTCACACTCATAACAATCGGCAAGTGTTGAATTAACTCATGTATGCATACACGCTCTTAACAATATTATTGTAGCTTGTTGAATTTACTAATGTATGCATTCACAATCATAACATTTGGTATATTGCTGAATTAACTAAAGCATTCACACTCATAACAATTGTAGTTTGCTGAATTTATTAATGCATACATTCACACACATAACAATTGGTAATTTGTTGAATTTAGTTATACTAATGTTCTCAATTGTTGCAAGCATGTTTTAGTTAATAGACTTAAAAGCATTTAACCACAATGAAGATTAGAATCATCTCAAAAAAGAACATTAAACATAAAAGCTGTATGTGTAAGGTTCATAGCATGACTTCAATAATCAGAAAATGTACAAATTTCAAGTCAATGACCATATATGTCAAACGGGATAAAATTTACAAATTTTACACTTTGTTAATTTAATTTACACTTTGTTAATTTTACACAATTGTTAACATTTCGTCAATAATCACAAAATTTGTTTTAATTTTTTGTTTTATTTTTGATTTTTGTTTTGTGATTATGGAATTTTGTGATCATTGAGTACGTAAAAAATTATTGGAAATTCGTTTGTGTTTATTGAACAAGTAAGAATTCCTCACGAATACGTTCGTATTAATTCAACTCTTAAAAAATCCTCATAAATAAATTTGTATTTACTGAACTCTTAAGAAGTCCTCATAAATAAATTCGTATTTACTAAACTTTTAATAACTTCTCATAAATAAATTCGTATATATTGAACCAGTAAGAACTCCGTGTTTGGGTTTTGAATACACGTACAATCAAACTATGAAGTCAAAGGTTTTTATCAAAATCTTAATCCGAATTTGGCTAATGCAAGGGCAACTAAATCTTGTAAGATAATTCAAGAATTGTACATTTACGATCAACCTCTGAGTTGGTCTTAACAGACTAAACAAAGTTTTGTTCAACATTGTATCGGTTGCGCTATAAGGCATTAAAGTACCAACTTTATGAAAACGTATCATCATGAGCGTAATTAGATTGTCATTAGGACGGGCGTTCATCTCGAAATAATCGGCCAAGCCATTGATTTAACGGTTGCGTCTCGCATTAGTCTGCCTCACTGAAGCGGGGCTCCCGCTTGCTCTAATTACTGGCCTGTGAAGCGAGACAATTGAGTCGTCGTTCTCGGGCCGAGGCCTCCGCGCTAAAAAACATCTAATTCAAATTATCATCCTAATATGAACGCGAACTGAGCTTTTTAACAATGAAAAATGTAAAATGCTTATTCATATACAAACTTACTTCAAATTACAATGACAACTTAATGTGTAGAATACTAAAAAACAATCTCCCATATCATGGCGTCAACAGCGAATATATCCAATAAAAGGTGTAAAGGTTACGAATGACAGGCAAAATATCGGTATCTAAATCAATTACTAATTTTTTCATGTTAATTACGTAATAATAACTATTTAAAAATTGCTAATGACTCAAACATAATTATAATTAAAATTTATTATTTGCTGGAACACTTAAATCATGGCTCATTTGATAATATTTAGTTTAAATATTAAACAAAATCTATATTTCCATATAAGCCAAGCCATCACACGATTGTTTTCATTGTCTGTAACCTTTTCTTCTCCACACACTTACAAAGAATTTTTGATGAAGAATTTTTCCATGTGAATCCAGAATGTGTGAGCTCCTAGGATTCTTATATTCATTTCTTCGACTGAAAGCGAAAGCAATCAATAAAGTTTGCCATCAAATCCACTGTGGTTCCTAATCCATCCGACACTTATCTTTATTCCATCAGGACCTTCGATGAAAACCTCTCGACTCGATCACGCTCACTCGAGCAAAATAACTCCAGTGACCGAGACGAGCTAATAAATTCTTCTAAAAAGATCTGGTCGAATATCTAGCTTCTGTATATGCTCAAGATGGTAATCTAGTCGGTCGCTCTTTAGCAATCCTAAAATTATAAGCCCAAGTGCTCGAATATACGAGGAATGAACATATTAACAAATTCCGGGCGTGCTTTCGGGTCGGAACGCTTGGTCATTTGTGTCGAACGGGCTTATTTATCTCAGGCTATTATGCACTCAATTCCTGCGCTACCATTTTCGGGGAAACCTAGACGAGGGGAATGCGGGGTTGCGGTGACAGCAGAATGCTGCGAGTGTTGGGGAATCAGGATGAAAATTAGGAAAATTGCAGAAAACTATGACCAGACCAATTATAAATTTAATTTTCACCGATGATTTTAAAGAAACTAATGTCACGGAGTGTGCTATGATATATAGCTTTAATGATTGCTATTTTGGCAGGGAATCTGAGGAATAAATTATTTTTGTACTTTGCATGGTTTTTATGAAGGAGGACTCGGCTTTAAAGTAAAACACGATCGCACTTTATATTGTCCAACAACGGCTTGTAACAAAGTAAGAACAAGGAGCGCAGAATGGGTTAAGAAGTTAATTGGTGCGGTAGCAAGAGGCAAGGTAGGGGATGTCATTGGATGGAACCTGACCCTGCTAGCAGGGCTCCCGGGGAGTGTGTTTGCAGATGCAGGGGCTGATAAGCCCCGTACGAGGGGGCGGTCTGAATGCCCAGAATTGCTCAGGACATGCTCCTGTTGCCGCAGATTTTTATCACACTGACAATTGCCGCTACTGAAAATGAATGAGCCATCTTTTGGGAGCAAATTCGAGAAGACGCCCAGCCGTCCCGGCGATCGCTTTACACGACGCACTTGACTGAGGTTCAGATAGGTTATCTGCCGACACATCGCCGGCCAGTTTGTTAGTTATGCACCATTATGAGTATTTAACTTGGGGCTCCAAAACATAGAAATTACTATGTTTATTGGAAGCGTAAGCGAGACAAACTCATTCCAAGAATTTGAGGCGCGATATGAGGATCGCTGATAACGACTGTTAAACCATCAGCAGGACGTCGATATCAAGTCTGCGGCTGTCCGCTGACTTTATAATCATTGCCACACTGAGATCTAAAGTGCACAATAAAAGAGAAATTCAATCAGTGAAGCTATTTGAGTAATCGACTTTCTCCAGTTCAATGATTTATTTACAATTTCTGGAGAATTCTTTGGAGATTTACGAGCGCAATCTAGTTTGCTCTGCAGACCTGTCAGCCATGACAATTTATGTTCCGATTACCCCAGTGCTGGACTTTTTGCATTTTCTACATTCTGATGGAAAAAGGGCAAAAAGTGGATTTGCTCGGACGCTATTGCTGCAGATGTTCTGACACTCAATTGAAAACTTATTTTATTTGTGTTAGAACTTTAAGCGCCAAATACAAGTTTTCGCCAGTGTTAAATTAAGTTGAGTGTACTACATTTTTGACGTCTTCCTATGATCCGAGAAGTGAATAAAACTTTTGAAATTACATATAACTCGTTAAATTGTTCGAGTTTTTTCTCACAACTGCCCCTGTACTTTTTCGTAAATGTTAAGAGTTTAGCAAAGAATGTCGTTCTAAAAAAAGCATAGAATGGAATGGTGCTGCAATGAGATTGCTGAGTAACGCTCGATAAAGAGCTATCAAGGCACATTTGTGTAGGAAAGTTACTGTGTGGATACGTCGATATAGGATGATGGCTTGACAGTGCGACACTCAATCCTCCCGCATGCCTGCGATAACAGAACAAGCTACTGGCAGATATCCTTGATGGTCCATTCGTGCAAGTCCTGAGAAACCCACCAACCTCAGGTACTTTGCTATCTTAATACAACTAAGCTCGGGCTAAGACATTTCACTGGAAGGTGACCAGGCAAGAATAATTGCTGCCTTGAATTATCTCAACGGAGGAAGTCTCAGGTATTTGAAATAAGAGTGCGCTTCTCTTGGCTGCAGATAATAGTTTAAAATTTCACCAAGTCGGGCATGAATTTCTCCTTGAATTTCAATGGAATAATACGGCAAAATTTCATTTCTTTAATGTGGTGTTATCAATGTCGTTTTTATTTCGGAATAAAGTGCGTATGACAGCACCACTTGGTTTACAGACAATAATAACTCAGATATTTTTATCTGAGCATCGTGTTGCATTTTGGGCTTTCCGATTACAGGACACCAATTCTCGTCTATGAATCTTAAATTTAAAATAAGCTAATATGCAGCCGATTATAGTATCTGTAGATAAATTGCGAGCTATAAACGTTATACCGGAGTTAGGTGCAGGACTGATAAAAAAGCTTATTTGGAGTCTTCTTCACCTGTGAGATGGACAATCAGTGTTCGAGTATCACTGATACTGTCTCATTATGCGTATGCATATAGTGCAGTCTCCACCAACTTTGATATGACCTGCAGTCAGTGTTCGAGTATCACTGATGAGTATCACTCCTTGTGTGGTTTACAGTGGCTGCGACTCGCCAAACATTCCGTCATAAGAGTAAATGAGAATTTTGATCACATAGTAAAGTCTACCAATGAGATCTATGAGCAGTTTTGCTAGAGTATGCAAATTTCGGTAATGCCTGAAAACATTTGAGAAATTTAACAAGTATTCAGTAGCCTCAACGAAGACTTTTATTTAGCTAATTTCAATGTAGGGTTGATTTTAGATTGGAATGTGAGAAATTAAAATAAATTATAACGACAGTCAAAGCAGAATTTGGATCATATTTGGAAATATTTTTTTTTTTGTGTTCATTTGATCTTTGAACCCTCTATCGTAATCGTATAATGACATATGAGGTGCAGAGATGTAATTTGTTATAATGCGTGACATAAGAGCCTGATCCTTGGTATCTTGAGGGGTTGCAATAAGAAGGATTGAATTTTCATGTTGAATGACATTCACTCTAACATGTTTTAATAAACATTGAATTTACAATATCCTAAAAATATAAATGCGCAGGTCAAATTGGTATTCATGGAATAAAAATTTGTACGAGTCCATGTTGCATTCACAACTTATATATGAAGATAATAAATGAGAGCAAGAATGACGTTAGGTCCTTGAAACTGAAGTAATCATAAAGCAATCTATTGCTGCTATTCGTAACATGAATGTTTTAAGAACATGAAATAAAAGAAGAAAAAGAATCAAATAGTTCGAAAATTATTCGCTGTTTAAGACACCTTGCGTGAATTTAATCTTGAGGTGACTTCACAAAGAATTATTCATGTCTAGGAAGCGAGGAAGACGCATAAACCTTCAATTTGTTTCATTATCAATACACGATGTCATTAGGCAGTTATTTAGTCAGAGCTACTGTGCAGCCGTGCCACGCGTACTTCACTGCACGATATCTTTAAACAGTCATTCCTTTTCTCACGCATTTTACTACAGGACTACGAATGGCTCTACGAATTACGCACGATATCTTTAGGAAGTCATTCCTTTTCTCACCCATTTTACTACACGACTACGAATGGCGCTACGAATTACGCACGATATCTTTAGACAGTCATTCCCTTTCTCACGCATTTTACTACAGGACTACGAATGGCTCTACGAATTACGCACGATATCTTTAGACAGTCATTCCTTTTCTCACGCATTTTATTACATGCCTACGAATGGCTCTACGAATTACGCACGATAACATTAGGAAGTCATTCCTTTTCTCACGCATTTTACTACAGGACTACGAATGGCGCTACGAATTACGCACGATATCTTTAGGAAGTCATTCCTTTTCTCACGCATTTTACTACAGGACTACGAATGGCGCTACGAATAACACGCTTTAAGGCAATATTGTCGTATTTGTGGATGAGTGTTTTCACGAACTTTGTTGATGGAAAATTTACGAAGATACTTTGTATGTGCGCACATTGATCCTCATACGCGTTTGTAGTGACTAACTCCATTGTAGTGACTACAAGCTCTTTCTTTTCCACCCTAAGATATAAGAAATTTAACTCTTTTATTCTTAGAGTTTATTTCTATTCAATTCAAATAAAGCAGGCCTAAGTAACAGTAGTCATTTCTTTTCTCACGCATTTTACTACAGGACTACGAATGGCGCTACGAATTACGCACGAAAACATTAGGCTGTCATTCCTTTTCTCACGCATTTTACTAGAGGACTACGAATGGCGCTACGAATTACGCACGACATCTTTAGGGAGTCATTTCTTTTCTCACGCATTTTACTACATGGCTACGAAATGAGCTACGAATTACACGCTTTGAGGGAATATTGTCGTATTCGTGGATGAGTTCACGATCTTTGTTGATGGAAAATATACGAAGATATTTGGTATAGGCGCACATCGATCTTCATACGCGTTTGTAGTGACTAACCCCATTGTAGCGACTATAACCTCTTTCTTTTTCACACTATAAGATTACCAAGAAATTTAATTCGATTAATCTTAGGGTTTAAACTAATTTAGTCGGAATAAAGCAGGCCTAAGTAGCATAACGACGGATGCAACGAGTTCGATGTTTTTAATAATTATTTTGTCATCTCGTTAATTTAATTAAGATTCCAAGGCAAAAGAATGCACCTTTTTTATATATGTGTTTACTTATTAGTGCCGTCGATTTTTTTGCAACTTTTGCTTACAATAGTTGGTTCCTTCAAATTTTGAAAAGGGATGGAAATGATCAAGTCTACCAAGATAAATTCTCGCTCCTCAGTCCAATCACGTCTACGGGACCACATTTTCCACCTATTCACTGCTTCTTGGTCTGATCTCGACTGTAAATCCTTAAAAGTTTTCTTCAAGTCGTGGCCTTCAATCTCGATTGGGATCAGCGCCCTCCCTCTCCCGGCACAGCTAGTGCCTTGTCTTTGCTGTAATCGGAGAAGAATGGTAAATGCATTAGCTGACTCCGGTCTTGGTAGCAGACCGTAATTTATAGGTAGGTTGTTGTGCTGATTTCCCTTGTATTCTCCAGCAATGGGTTGTGCCGCGATAACCCGACACCGGCCCAAAGAACATGACGCAACAATCGACGTCCACATGCAGTAGCCAAAAGTCGTGGACTCTGGTGCGTTTTGATGCTCTGTAACTTATTATTTTCTACAGAACATATTTCTTTCTCTTATTATTTTCTAGTTATTTGTTGCAAATTTTCTGGTCATCGCTTGCGACTTTTAGGTTAAAGATAGAAAGTTCTCCGTCGTATTCCCCCACAAAAAAAATCTTGGATGAAGTTCCGAGCTTCTAGTATTTGTAGCTTTTCGATAAAGGCGACCTGAGAACATTAAATGGCTTCTAGTAGTCAGGATTTAAGCGGTGACAGAGCGAGATCTAATCTAGGGATGGGACTTGGTTTAGGAAGGCGGGTTGAAGAGGCAGGGAGCGAGGGTGGCAGTGTAAGCGAACCTCAAGATACACTCGAGCTGGAAGAGGCAGATTAGCAGCAGGACGCTTTGAGTAAAGCATTTACGGAATGTTGCATCCGGCGATAAGACGTCGTCTGCTACTTGCGATCAAACGGCCAGCGCCTTCTTGCTACACTGCTTCTAAACTCCGATAAAATGTATTGTTTTGCATAAAATCTTGCATAAATAATCCTGGATACCAGAGTCGTTTAAGCTCCTGCATGATTTACTGGAGCATTTAAAATTGTGGAATTTCTTCTACAAGTCATCCATTTTGAGTGCTTTTGAACTAATGGCGCCAGCTCTTCAGAGTCACATTTGCCTAATTTGTTTACCTGTCGCACAATAACATAACTTTTGGTGCTCAAACAAAGACTATATTTTCATGCACTTCATCACAGACTCAAAAAATTGTTATTTGAGATGAGATAATTTTTTAACTCATCGTTTGAACGAAGCGTGCCTCTTTCTAATGTACAAGGCGGAACTTCTGACAAAAGCAGCGTGCCGTGACTGAACAATTAGACGCTACTTGTGATCTCGGAGTGTAGATGACGGAGGCGCAGCCATGGGATTTATGTGGCCGCAACCCAGTCGCTGGGGCGCCGTCCGAATACTAAACGAAGGTTCGTGAACTGCATGTTGGTCTCAAGACTTGCTAGTACGTTATGTACGAGGCTTACACGTACGTTATGTACGAGGCTTACTCGTACGTTATGTACGAGGCTTACTCGTACGTTATGTACGAGGCTTACTCGTACGTTATGTACGAGGCTTACTCGTACGTTATGTACGAGGCTTACTCGTACGTTATGTACGAGGCTTACTCGTACGTTATGTACGAGGCTTACTCGTACGTTATGTACGAGACTTATTCATAAGTTATGTACGAGACTTGTACGTTATGTAGGCGGCTTACGTACGCAGCTGTATGTACAGACTGTTAATTGTTATTTTCGTGGACAAAAACTTCTATCGTGAAGAATTTATCCGAAATTTTACGATTCCAAATCCGATTTCAGGCATGTTGAGACATACTAATGAGTATTTCAGCCATTTTCGGAATTTTCAGAATCCTAAATAAGACATTGCTTATTCGCTCTAAATTAAAGCCTATAAGAGGAGATGGGGGAAAATACCTCTATATGATTTCATGCAACAGATTCTGTGCTAGTGAATCAAAGTGCCAATTGGCGCTTGAAAATAAGTTTCAAGCGCCAATTTTTCACCACTGCGTTGTGAAAAATAAAGTTAATAGATAATTTAATAAAGTGACTAATCTCTCCAACTGAAGGGCGTAAATATGCAAATAATATTTGGAAATTATCTCACCTGTGATAGTCTTCCTTGCAAAATATTAATCCGTCCCTGGTGAAGAGAGTGCGCGGTGTGTCTAAAGGTATTTTACAGGTGACACATCGCAGGCACCCTGCGTGCCACTTCTTATCCACGGCCAGCAGGTAAAATCTGTCCAATATTCTCTCGGAGCAGCCTGCGCACACCTCCACCCCGGGCCCTGACGACACGGCAGTTGACACCTGGAACAAATCAGAACACGCATGTATACGCAACACGCATCTCTGAATACGCAACACGCAGCTCTGTATACGCAACACGCATCTCTGAATACGAAACACACAGCTCTGAATACGCAACACGCAGCTCTGTGTTAAGAAATCATTTCTTTGCATTCGGAACATACATATCTGTACTCGGAACATACATCTCTGTACTCGGAACATACATCTCTGTATTCGGAACATACATATCGTATTCGTAACATACATCTCTGTATGTATTCGCAACACACAGCTCTGTGCTAAGATAACATTTCTCTGTATTCGGAAGATATGTTTTTGCATTTGGAACATACATCTTTGTATTTGGAACATACATATCTGTATTAGGAACATACATCTCTGTATTCACACATACATATCTTCACTCGGAACATATATCTCTGTATTACAAACATACATCTCTGTATTCGGAACACACTTCTCTAAACTCGCAATGAAAATTTTTGTTTTCGGAACACATATTATGGCGAGGAACTATGAGTTCGCCACCAACGATATTTCAAAGGTTCCTGCAGATTCACAGCACTGATGATGAAAAGAAACACAGAAATTATTGTTTGCTACAATTAATTAATACGCTGAATCTATAATCAAAACGATATTATTCGGTGATTTTTATTATATCTCAACACTCTTGCTTGTATAATTGTGAAAAATCTCAAATGATTCGATATTAAAATAAGATGAAATAACTGGGCCGTCTAAATAATAACTATGGCAGCAGTAATCTAATAGAAGTGATGAGATGTTCCATTAATTGTATTGGAATATGGAGATTTATTTTAGAAAAGAAGGACTTATCAACTGGCAATATATATGGTTGTAGGAATGATGATGATATTATTAACAATGATATTCAGCGCTGAAGCAGCTGATTGGTTCAGATTTAAATTCCCGATGAACACACTCGCTCGACTAAAGATTGCTCTCAATTGCCAACAATTGGGGAAATATTAACAAACGGAAATTTTCATTCGGTAAATGATCCTGTAAAATTCATTTACCGAATAAATTTTCATTCGTTAAAATGAAATGTTACTTTATTTCTGTGAAAAGCTAAGTTTAGTCCGGGAACCCAGTTGATTAGCTCAGCTAAGTAAGGTGAAATGCTTACCTGTCCTGAGGTGACCGTGCAGGTTGAGGATATTGAAGTGCAAGTTGAGGATACCGGAAAAATTTTCATTCGTTAAAATGAAATGTTAATTTATTTCAGTGAAAAGCTAAGTTTAGTCCGGGAACCCAGTTAAATGGCTTAGCTAGCTAGGGTGAAATGCTTAAAAAAATAATGCTTACCTGTCCTGAGGTGACAGTGCAGGTTGAGGATATTGAAGTGGCCGTGCCGTTGCTGTTACTATTCGACGTGCCTATGCCTTTGTTGGATATATCACTATTTTGGCATGTAATTGGCACCGGAGACGCCATCCCTGTTAGGTGGTATAATGAAGAATAATGTAAGGTAATATGGTGAATAACCCCGATATGATGAATCAAATGCTAATTGCTTGCAGAATAAGTGAGTTTCTGCAAATAAAAATAACAAACTTATCAAGATGCGACCATGGTCCTTAACCTGCATTATCGCAACAAATCTAATGAAAGAAATTCATAAATATCACAACAAAATTTAAAACAATCATAAAATAACTATCAACTATAACTACATCAACAGTGAAGAACTAGGTGCATGACGCACAAGTGGTTTCACGACGAATTTAATTCTGGAAAGTTAATAAATTTCAGGCAGGGTTGTGTGGACTGGATTTTTCTCATAATGTAGATACGAGTAAAGACGAAAAATAAATCAATTAATATAAATGAGTACAAATTTAACAGCACCAATATCAGCAATAACTGTTTGAATGATCAATAAAAAAATTCCTAGGCAAAGGCTGCACAAAAATAAGTTAGCATGAAAGGCTACTGAGTACACACAACCTACAGGAACAGGGTTAACTAAAATATTCACTAATAAATTGTTTCTTGGATTAATAAGGATTTACGAAGAAAAATTCTGCTCTGTTAGGCTGCCCGCTAATATTTCTTTCTCATCTCACAGTCCGCAAGCATTACTTTATTGTACAAGTAGTAAAACTTCTCTTATACATCCAGAAGAAAACACAGCAACATCATAATAGCTGCGTTGATTTGTAATGCAATTCCAAACTTTCAGGCTCGGGATCATAAGTATCCTTACAGTACGCACTTTATGTACTACAGGGTGTACCAGAATTAACTGACCCTTTTAATTTGTTAATAAATAAAAAACTAAGAACGTTATGAAGTTGAAACTTGTTTTATTTAAAATGGTAGAGGGTGGGGTCGTGGTGAAGGTGGGGCATAGTAGGGGAAGAGTCGCTGCTGGGGTCGTATGCTCCCTCTGATGAACCGTACTGTGGTGGGCAGGAATGGTCGGCAATTATTTACGGGGAATATAACAATCTTAAACAATCATGGGAATTTACGGTGAATATAACATTCAACTTACGGCGAATATTATTTACGGGGAATATAACATTTGAATCTTAAACAATCATGTGAATTTACGGTGAATATAACATTCGAATTTTAAACAATAATGTCACTCAACTCATTATCAACATTTTAATTTTCCTTGTTCATTAAAAGTTAAAATAAAAACCACCATACGCAATCTTTCTAAATATTGGTTAAGCGTTCATTCTCGTAGCTAATTTCTCAGCATCTGTTTATTTGTGTTAGTCATACACGATTTGAAACTTCGTGCTACCATTTTTATTTTTGGAATTCATTTAAAGGGAATTCATTTAAATTTAAGCGGCCAGCAGCACCAGTAATTCGTTTGACTCGTTAATGACAACGCGAGGCATCAGCGTGCGGTCCAGGATCTATACTTTCAAAAAAAAATAAAGTGATCGTAAGTTCATCAGCCAATCATTGACGGCCTTTCAAGCAAAATCCACCAATCATGGACAATAAAATAGAACGTAAGTAGTTACGTTCACTTAGCGAGTTTTGAAAGTATGGGTCCTAGGAAGCGCCTGGTTTATTCCCAGTGAAAATGTACAGACGCGGCAGCTTCTGATTTGGATTACCAGAAGCTGGGGCGACTCTAAATTTTGTTAGGTAGTGTTTTTCAAGTGCTACTCAAATCTTAATTATTAAAATCTCAAAAGCAGAGGACGTGCTTCAATATTTCTGTCGCAAAATTTTCCCAAAAAAAAAACGCTGAGGAGCCTCCACTGTTGTGACGTATGGGAACCACAATCGCTGTGGTTCCCAGTCTCAAATGGTGACTGTGTACGATTGTGATGGCCCACACAGGCATTCGTAATCCATTGAAGTGTATCGGACTCCGCTATGTGCTACTTCGTATAGGCCGCTTTTGTGCATTCGTCCAATTTGCGTGGTGCCGTTTGTTGGGGTCTCATTGATGCGCGGGCTCCAGTAGTTTCCATTCGAGCCACTCGAACCAAAGGATCTCTGATTTAGATCACATTTACATTGAGTTTTTTGTGCTGTAAAATGGCAGCATCACTCGCATATCATGCTTCGATGAGCGCAATGTTATAAAAATCTCCGATTGCTTTGTCAAGTGCAGCTGTGCTCGATCCACATGAACTGCGGTCATCATGGCATTATATTTTATTCAACTAATTCATTCGTATGCTATAATCAATTGATCATGATTATGAATATATACTTATTTGCGTGAAAACAATTTAGTTAACAATTTTTTGTCAATTTTCCATTGAACTGAAATAGTACGAAATAAATTTTTACAAATTCTCACGTTCTTAATAGTATAACGTTTTCATGGAGCGAACGAAACTCGACATCAAATTCACACAACGAACCGAACCTTCTGGCCTGAGAGCGTTGCTGCTGAAACTTCCCGCATTTTAATTTCATTCTCTATGAGATTAAAAACCAATTTAATAAAACCCAATTTAATTTTAATCTCTATGGCAACCAAAAATTGATTACCGAATTTATTTATTAACGTAAATCTTCTAAAAGTTTCATATTATTATTGAATGTCGGGAGTATAACAGCGTTGAATGTCAGAAGCGAGATGACTTATCACAAGACGAAGCACCGCCTGCCCGTCTCAGCTGATGACGGCCGCCGTCAACAGTTTACAGACGAGCGTTGCAGCTGCAGCTGACTGCTGCTCTCGCCCTGAGAGTGCAGCTGCAGCTGACTGCTGCTCTCGCCCTGAGAGTGCAGCTGCAGCTGACTGCTGCTCTCGCCCTGAGAGTGCAGCTGACTGCTGCTCACGCCCTGAGAGTGCAGCTGACTGCTGCTCACGCCCTGAGAGTGCAGCTGACTGCTGCTCACTCCCTGAGAGTGCAGCTGTAGTGAGCGTGAAGAGCGTGAAGAGCGTGACGAGCGTGACGAGCGTGGAGAGCGTGACGACGCCATGCATGCATGCCCATGCTCACGCCTCAAGTTTAGATAGTTCCCAGTGGCGTTAACAATTTTCTGTTTAGCATGTCAATTAATTTATCTTATTCCTATGTATAAGACAATCCCAATATCAATCAATAATTCAGTTTATTATGCTACGTGATCAAGCAAACCAACTTTTCGTTAAACGTATAATTTAAAATGTAAAGCTAATCCCCTGACATATATCGTGATACTGCTTACTAAATCATAAGATGTAACAATTTTCTCTCAGTAACAAGTTTAGAAAGTTTGTGCAGGTGGTTGAGCGCAGTTTATTTTCCTAATTTCAAATATACTTTTCGTGTTCATCGTCTTTGAAATTAATTATTTACCGATTGAGGTAATGTCTTTCTGTATGTCAATAAAGTATCCATATTATGGAAATTTTTGCATTCCCTATGCTTGTAGACGTTTGCATGCATTTTTCACCGACTCTAGCACATTGGACTGAGATGCAGTAATGTAGGATTTGTATATTTTTCACGTTCTGGGGCCATGCTTTCAAAACTCGCTAAGTGAACGTAAGTACTTACGCACTATTTTCTTGTCTATGATTGGTGGATTTTGCTCAAAAGGCCGTCAATGATTGGCTGATGAACTTACGATCTCTTAACTTATTTTGAAAGTATGGGCCCAGACCTAAAGCAAAGCTGACCCTCGTATCACTTGTTACTTCATCAGCCGAGAGGAGCATATATTTAGGGTTCAAAATATTCATCTGTTACGACAATGTAAAGAGGTACGAAAAATCTATCTGTGTATATAGAATAAGTAACTTGAACGTTACAGACTTCGTTGCAAAGGCTATTGAATATTTAGGCAGTTGTATAATAAGGCAATTATCAGATATATCGTGATACTGCTTACTAAATCATAAGATATAACAATTTTCTCTCAGTAACAAGTTTAGAAAGTTTGTGCAGGTGGTTGAGCGCAGTTTATTTTCCTAATTTCAAATATACTTTTCGTGTTCATCGTCTTTGAAATTAATTATTTACCGATTGAGGTAATGTCTTTCTGTATGTCAATAAAGTATCCATATTATGGAAATTTTTGCATTCCCTATGCTTGTAGACGTTTGCATGCATTTTTCACCGACTCTAGCACATTGGACTGAGATGCAGTAATGTAGGATTTGTATATTTTTCACGTTCTGGGGCCATGCTTTCAAAACTCGCTAAGTGAACGTAAGTACTTACGCACTATTTTCTTGTCTATGATTGGTGGATTTTGCTCAAAAGGCCGTCAATGATTGGCTGATGAACTTACGATCTCTTAACTTATTTTGAAAGTATGGGCCCAGACCTAAAGCAAAGCTGACCCTCGTATCACTTGTTACTTCATCAGCCGAGAGGAGCATATATTTAGGGTTCAAAATATTCATCTGTTACGACAATGTAAAGAGGTACGAAAAATCTATCTGTGTATATAGAATAAGTAACTTGAACGTTACAGACTTCGTTTGCAAAGGCTATTGAACAATTAGGCAGTTGTATAATAAGGCAATTGTCAGATCGTTCCTGATTGCTCATGCATTCTCATCAAGAAAAATTATTAACTGAAATACTCAATCAATTTATTTAATTATATGACAGAATGACAGATTTATATGATCATACAACTGCTGGTGCCACAGGTGTGTGCTTGGATGAATGACCGAATTATGAGAACCATGACAACATGTAACTGTGATCATATATTAAATGATTTCTGAAACTTGAGTCATCCATTAGTGATCACATCAAATATGAAGCTTATGTGAATACCTGTATAATAGTCGTGAAGTGATCAAATTATGCGTGGAAAACAATCTTTAATGGTGCATATATACAAGATTGTCGTTGTACACACAAATCTATTAACACGTAATGTCAACATTCTGCATGTAGAGATCAAGTAAAATCTAAGTAGAATCCTGATGGCGTACGAATGCTTGAAGTTACAAGCAATTGAAATATTCTGAAATATTCTGGCACGAGTTGGTTTGGAAAAAATTGATGATTGGGTTAACAATCGATCAATTTAACCGACAGCACCTCATCTAGTTTAGAAGAGAATAATAAATGAAATAAGATCTAAAGCATTTCTATTTTGGATCTGAAAAGTTGATTTGCATTACGATTTATGTTCTCTGAATAATGCATTAATAGTCATGAAATATTCCCAACTTAAATTCATAAAAGCAACAGTAGTTAGTTCATTCTAATATCACATCCAAGACCACTACGTAGCGAAGTGTTATTTTAATGCAACGTCTCAAGAGAATGTCAACATAATATCTCTTCTTTCTCAATTCCAGGTTCCTCGTTCTCAATTAGCGTTAAAATTAAACAACGTTTTAGTCCATACATTTGCTTTAAACTATTAAGAAGACACATTTTCCTACAGCTAAATTTCATCTCTGCATGCGAAAATTTGGTCTTAATCTTAATTTATTTAATCTAAGCATTTTTAGCGTGTTTCAAAATAGAAGTTATCAAATACAATGGTAAAACGTACTTCATTGTACCCGCTCAAAAATATATTATAAAATTGTGCGCGGTCTTCTCATTAACATATAATAGTCAAGCTCAAGCTGGGTCATCATGTCGGAAAAACATTGAGACCGAAAAACAAATTTGATATGCATACCTGATATATGATTTGTGATAAGATTTTTGCTACACAAGAATCTTTCTGTTTTCATGGTCCGGGACGATTACTGAACTATTGAAATATTCAAATATAAAATAAATTTCTCATTTGCTAATACGTGAGTTCAATCCATCCCATATTCTTTTCGTCTGGTATCAGCATCTCGTGTGGTCGATTGTCTCAGGTTATAGCCGATAATTCTAGCATTCTGATCCTAAATTCGTACTTAATTATTTGAGGCGAAATGACTTGACTCGCAAAGCTGACTGACGTGTTTTTAGGATATTTTACGGATATTTTTATGGAATTTTGGGGATGCATTTGCAAG